AACCAAATCAAAAATCACTCTAACCAAATCAATTTCCATACTTGATGGAACACCTATAGAGTGGGTAGCATGTATTTGCTCTTTAATGGCACTATAATTTTCACATTGTTCGTATTTGCGAGCTTTGTCCATCGCAAAAAATCGAACCTCGAATTTTAGTGTTGTGCATTTACTGCTGACTCACGGGGGACATATTTTAAGTAGAAAACGTTATGTTCATGAAGGAAGATATCAGTGATCAGAGAAGTAATACTTATGTATTTACTTATACAATAGAGAACTGACCTTTATTCAGATCCAAATGTGGTAAGAGAAACTAAATATATTTATAGACTATTCCAAATGGTTGCTTCTAGTTTTTAAAAATAATAGCTTCTTAAAATAATTTTTGGAATAGTTCAAATCTTATGATATATATATATATATCCACTAGATTGAGGATAGTCAGTCCAGCTATAACTTTTTACAAGTTGTTACATTTGTTACACTCAAAATATTCGTACTTTGTTCTCAATTATTCAGACCTGTTTGAGGAGTAGCTCGTGACTTGTCTGTCTCTTACATTCCGTATAATAACTCCCCTTCCTTAATGTGGCCTTTAATCCAAATTCGCCGCCGCTTGTTTTGACTGCCTGGAGGAATCTTGTGCGACAAAAATAACCTGTCAAGTTTGATTAACGACGACGAAGCTGCACTGTTTTTGGTTATGAGACACCTGACTTTAGTATTCTTACTGTTTAGTTGTTGTTTTTTTTTAAAGAGGTATGAGTGTAGATTGTTCGGCATAGTGTAGTTGAAGATTTACTCTCATCCAGATTAGGTTCACACATATATATTTTTATTTTGCTAGAAAATCTTAAATAAAGAAAGGCGTATTACTGTAAATAAGCTTTATCTTATAAACTATAACATAATTTCTACGTCTACCAGTTTTTCTTGCTTGTCTAAATGATTTATGCAACACTACTTTCAAGTTGGGACAAGTTTGATAAAAACACTCGAACTTCATAAAACTTGTAAAAAGCGACTACATGCACACACACACACACACAAGTTTGTTTGTTTGCTTGTTTGTAATTATGCAAAGCTACCCAATGGACTATCTGTGCTCTGCCAACCACGGGTATCGAAATCTCATTTCTAGCGTTGTAAGTCCGCAGACATACCGCTGTGCCACTGGTGTTCACACATAAGTAAAACGACAGTGAGTTATAAGTTAATCCAAGGTTTCATGGTGCATTCATGTGTAAATATTTTGTGTAAATTTGCTATTAAAAAAATCATAGACTACACCGTAGATACATAACACGACCAATCATAACAGTTTGTCCACATTGTTGAGGTCCAGAGCTTGATATTTTTTTCTAGTTTAAATGGAGAAAACTGACCGGAGTAACCAACATATAATCTTTCGACTCATTAACTTTCATTTGTTTCAAAGTAAGAGGGCCTGGGTTCGAATCCCCGTCCCATCAAACATGCTCGCTCTTTCAGCCGTGTTTACGGTCAATCCCACTATTCGTTGGTAAAACAGTAGCCGCAAGAGTTGGCGCTGGACGGTAATGATTAATTGCCTTCACTCTAGTCTTTCACTGCTAAATTAGGGATGGCTAGCGCAGATAGCCCTCGAGTGGCTATGAGCAAAATATAAACCTACAAAAACCAAATCAAAATTAGGACTATTGAAGAGTAAATACAAGAGTCGATTTACTAACTATTAATTTCTTAGAAAAGAAAGCCTTCTCCAGAAGTCATTGTTATATAGTAGCCTTTTACAAGTCCTTCGTCTAGATTATTATTGCTTTCCTGCAGAAGCGATGTCCCTTTTCTACAATTTATATTTACATTTTTCTTCTTGTATGTTTTAAAATACATTTTAAATACGTTAGTAATAATTAAATTAACCACCTTTTTCAGGCTCTTTGTACTTATCGCACGACAAGGACACTTCGAGAAAACAATATTGTGAAATTAACAATTGAAAAACTAAGGACATGTGTAAAGGTATTGGAATTCTCTGAAAAGCAGCTTATGCAACACGTGGGCTAAACGGTCAGGTCAGAGACTCCTAGGAGTCAAGTATAGTCGTCCCTTATTTTGCATTACTGACCAAAGGACAGAAAAACCAGTCGGTAGCACCTGCCGCATGAAAGGCTTTGTATAGCTATAAACCGATTATCAGGATTAACTATTACTATTATAAAAAATAAAAAAATAAAAACCTGAAAATTTGGTACGTGTTCAGAGATAATGCAGCGTGAATGTGAAACCTAGTAATCACAGAACCTGGCAAACTAACCATTTAACCACGCCCGACCCACTCGCACATATTGCAAAAATAAAAGAACAAAAAAACAATTACCGTATTTTTCGGTGTATAAGACGCACTTTTTTACCCCAAAATTTGATGTCAAAATCTGCTTGCGTTCTATACACGAAAGGTATGAATAATATATATATGTATATATATGATATACACAAGCCATGTGTAAATATATTTAAATAGGCATGCATAGTTCAGTTCAATTGAATTTGTTATTTATAACAATAGTAGTTTTTCTTTTAAAAACATAACTATTTACAATGCTCCCTAAATAATAAAAAATAAATTACAGTGAAAGCAAT